AACACTATGTTAGTATATTCTACACAGAGTAATAGACTAATAACAATTTCTTTTGTGTTAGGCAGGTGCTCAATGAGACAGGCATTTTTAATATTTTTAAGTACTGTCTAATTTTATGCACTGGCACACAGCCAGATCGAATGGGAGTCTCCATACTCTAAATAAGGCATTCTTGGGATGGCTCTGAACTCGAACTTAAAGGTTTCATTGCCTCTGAGTTTAGATGGGTTTCATATTGGACACAGTAAAGACCTACAATCTTTTTATCTAAACAGAATGAAATTGTTGTCATTACAACAACACTCCTCTCTTACAATGTATTATGAACAAATGACTTTTGAAAACATTTTCTGCAATCTGGACACTGACCTGGTGTGCTAGCTAGTCATGGAACAGACACTACCATCACACAAATGCACACAAAGTTTTCAATGACTTTCACAAATGACATCACAGCTAAATTAGTCTGGAAGAACAAAATGCTCTCCCTTTATACTATTTTAAGAGTATATAATCCCATTATTTTATGTTAAGAGGTTGCAAGGCCACCTGGATTGTATCATAGGATTTTTGAATAGCTATTTTAAGTAATAGGTGCCATGTTGCTGATTTAGTTATGTGAATAATTAAAAATAAAATATGCTTTACTATCTTTTACTATGTATTTAGTAATCATTCTACTAGTAACGAGTTCCCCTCACTTTTTTGTATTGCGCATCAATATACATTTTATTAGACCAAATCACAACTTGGTCGCACATTAACTGAGTGGTTTTCACTCCAATATTAATCATGGTTTTGTAGGACAGAATTGATGTTTTGTTTTGTTATCCCAGTGCCAATATAATCTGCAGTGCCTGGGGAACATAAATAAGAAGTACTGAGTTTTCACAGAGCCTTTCTGCTGACTACGCTATTCCTCCTCCTCCTCCTCTTCTTTCTATTATTACTATTACTACTACTTCTCTTTCTATTACTACTACTACTACTATCACCATCAATTTCCTAACACAGACCATTGCCTTTCAGGGGAGGCAGGGATGATAGTCACCTATTGTTACCATTATACCTTCCTTCCATCATTTTGATGCAGAAAGTTGGAAAAACACTTTTAAAGAAATGGCACAATGTTAGGAAGGAAAAGTAAACTATGCATTTAAAGATTTAGGAAATAACAAATTGTATTGACTACAAAGCCTGGGCCAGTGACTGATCTCACTCTTGAAGTCATTTGAGCTTAGAGGGAAGAAAAAAATATTCTTCCCTATTCCAGCCATCTTCCTCCTTGTTTTGACCACCTTTTTGTCACTTGTCCAGACATATTCTATTGGGGGTACTTTTATAGTTACACTCAATCCTCTTGGTCTTCCCTGCTCTGATTGCTGTCAGACTCTTAAGCTGGTAATATCAAAGCATCTCGCACTCATGAGGCTGATGGGAACTACTTCAGATATTATCTGGCTCTCTGTGCACTTCTTGATGCTCTGCCATCCCCTCAATCATCTGGTCGAAGGCTGCACGCTTTCCTCCTCTCGACGCAGCTTTCCAGGGCTATGATTCTTGCCCTCAGTTATTTCTGGTGTGCAAAGACTGTCACACTTTTTGCTTTGTTTTAACAATTCTCAGATCCCCTCTTGTCTTTAACAGGCTATATTTCCCACTGCACTTGGCACATAACCACTTTTTCCATCACCATGGGAGGACACTATCTTACTTCCAGATGTGCTATAAAGACATATCCACCCTCTCAAGGAACTAGAGAGTTTGGAACTTCTGTCAGTACTTCTACTTAATGAACTATCACATTTTTTGTTTTTTCTCTGCATATTTGTGTCCCTACTGGAGGATGACATGCTCCTATTTTAAGAATAATTGGTATGATGCTTTTGAAAGAGGCAAACATTACTGTCAACAGTTCAAATGGAAATACTGTATTTTGAAGGGTTGCAGTATAATTTTCACTCGCCTTGTGGGATTAAGTGAATACAATTCCTGGGGACTCTACAGCATCAAACTTCTTAATATGCACAACCACAGAAGACAAACAAGTGGAAATGAAATATATATTCAGTTCCAAGGCATTTAAATAGCAGTTTCAATTACTATCCCCAAGGTGTATAGAAAGAGGTGGATCTTTAAAATGACAGCTGATAATGTCTACAAGACATCGACATTTTAATAGTGCTAATTGACTTATCCCATATTGATGAAAGACAATGATGATGATATTCAATGGCTGTAATTTTACTGAAGAAAAATCAGATGAGAGAAAGCTTTATCATATCAATTTCACACAGAAAATCATAAAGAGAGAGGAGAGATCCTATGGACACATCCATGGAGCAAAAGGTGAAAACTCTGTAAAATGAAAGGAATGCAAAGAAAAAAAAAGTCTTATTAAAATATATGTGAAAGATACCACACATAAGGCTAGACCAATTAAAAATAAAGAGTTTAAGACAGGAGAAAAGTCCTCATTGATGGACCTCATCTAAAATATACTACAGCTAAGAGAACAATTTCCAAGAATTTGAGATGTGCCACCAGTTAAAAAAAAAGAGCAACAATCAAAGCACCTTCCTAGCAAACTCCAAGAAACCCCTCCATCATGGCTCAACTTGCAACAAGGACAGTGAGGCAGCTGAATATATTTGAGTACACCCCTCACCATGTAAAACCTATTACCTATAAAACATGCGTACACACACACACAAGAGAAGTGAGTAGCAGTATCAGTGATGAAAAAGATGGCACCTTTGGAACAGCTTCACAACCTGGATTCCTTTGACATGCGATTTATCATGGGATTTATATTGGTGATATAAATGCCAAAGTTTTGGCAAACAAATAAGTTTGTTTTATTGACAAGCTAGTTATCTACGTGCAGGCTGTGCATATACACATAAAAAGTTATGTAAGAACAACAAAAAAGAAACCTACAGGATTTACAGGATCTACAAAATGTTAAATCTACTCAATTTATTTCAGAAGGAAACAGTTTTAGGTGTTTAGAGGAAAGAATATGAAGTGTGAAAGAAAGATCTATGAAGTTAATGGGGAAAGTTTCTTTCTCCTATATTAGATACTGTTCTTAAAACAAAGGAATCAATAGATAGATAGACGGATAGACAGACAGACAGAAGAGCAGGGAGACAGAACAACAGATAGCAAAAGGGGGAAGTCATGCAAGGAAGAGTGTGTCTTCTAATCTCACCTAAGAAAGTGTGCAAGCAAATTAACTCATCATCACTCCTAATGGCTTCAGAGATCTAGTAACTGGGTTCAAAATTTTACAGGATCAGGCCCTCATATGAATACACTCAAAGTCCTTAAGTTTGTGGGAGAACTGAAAGGCCATCAAAAAAAAATGGTTGTAGCAGCTGTCATATTCATTGGATATAGCAATTGTTACACTGAAAAGGAACCTTTAAATGAACAGACAGTTACAATATTGTGCTTTAAGATAGTGCTTTAATCCGCACAGAAAACAGTATGATCCCATTAGCCCGCATAAAATAGCTAGCAGTATACATATATGTGCTAGTGTCCTATTTGTCACTTCAATGTAAATGAAAATTACTTAATGTTTGTAAAGTGTTCGTATGATGAAAAGATAAGTGACAAATATCACGCTAATATTACTATTATCATATTAATTAGAAAAAATAATTAGCTTGAAATATGAAGATACTGATCTGAGATAAACCTCTGAACCTACCAAGCTTCAGCTATCACCAGCAAAAATATGATGGAAACATTGAAACAACGCGACTACTTCAGTAAGCTGAAAGCTGCTCGTTATTATAGCTTAATTGACCAAGAGTAATGTTGTCAAAGCTAGCTAAGGGATTTTTGAAAACATTTCTTAGGCTCTTGAGCAATCCCAGCATTTTAAAATATTATTCTACTGCCTAAAAATTTTATGTTTACATATTACATGGTATACTTATTACATATACACATACACAGAAGAGAAACATCTTGAATCTGTTGCTGAATAGGAATTGCTGGTAACTGAGAGGATACACCTTTTTTTTACCCACATTGAGCACTAGATAAACAGATAATATCAACTCCACACAGAATATCTGGAGGCTCAGTAGGCAAGTCACAGCTACATTGCTGCTGTGTTGTTCAATCCCATGTTATGCAACTAATGATGCAGAAGGAAAGTATTACCAAACACAAGGGTGACAGGCAAAAGACTCTTCCTGCTGAAAAAAAAGAGCTCCTATACAGCCTTTATAGTAGAAGGCTGCATGCAGCAGCCTCTGCCACACTGCAAGCATGCTCGGTCATGAAATGAAGGTATTTTGCATACGACAGCATATAGCAGAAAATAATCATATGGACTAATGGAAAACACCAGCTTTTGGGTCATTTGCTAAGAGCAAGTTCAGTCATATGAGCAAGATGGAAGCGTGCACTGCTCTCACTCCTCCAATGATCCTAGTGTTAACAGTCCCAAAGCTGGCCAAAAGGTTTCCTGTGACTGAAATAGAACTTGAAATTGCCTGAATTAACTACGTATTCCTTCATCGCCCATAGATCTCAGTTCCCTTGTCACTGGTAAGCAATGACCTTAGAGTTCACTAGTTGGAAGAATATAAAAAAATCCTCATGCGTAGGAAAAGCAGAGAAACTACTACATTTAATTTTAGTACCTGACGAGTTCTCTAGAGAGTTTCACTAGGACAAAGACAACATATTCTACTGCACTTTAAAGCATCTAATACAATTCAGACACAAAATTAATAATAATAATAATAAATCCTCTTGCTGATACACTACCGAGCTTGCTTATCTCAGTCAATAACACTGGAAGTGTTGAACATAATTGGCTAAAATCACTGTAATATATTCCAAATTAAAGTCTCCCAACCAATAATGACTGTGGTGTATGTATTTTTACACTGATATTTGTTTTACAGATGGAACATATTCCTTTAATTGTTACTGGCAAGTCAAAATAAATATAGAGACAGTTTAATTAGTCCCACCTTTTTATAGGCGATCCAGTCAAACACCCTGTCAATGTCTGTGGCTTGCTGCACCTCCTGGGACACTGGATGTGAACTGGCCAAGCCATCCAGCAACATCACTTCATGCAGGACATCTGTCAGAAATCTCTGCTTTTCCTGAAATACAACACATGTAGTAATATCACAGACAAGTAGAGAACAGTAACAATACAGAAATGACACAGTTAGCAAAGGCAGATGCTGATTAAAATCAGACCTGGTCTGATAAGTATATGGAACAAACAGAAATCAGTTCTAACATGAGAGATCCTCCTGACTTGG